CTTGAACAGTTTAGCTTGAGTTGCATGGGAAGCATGGTTTTAATTCCACAACATTTAGGTGTTTTTTCCTATTCTGTGTATGGGATACAAAATTAAAATCTTCAAAATTTTCTGTAAACTGAAAAGCTTGAAAAAAAAATCAGTTGGGTCAATATAAAGAGCTCAGTTGGGGTAGTGGCAGATCACTCCATTTCAGGTTCAAATTTTGTGTATTTTTCTCTAAATCGAATTAATATAACGTTTGAAACAAAATTATCTATAAAAAGTGATATATTTAAAAATGAGTCTAGTTTGGGGTGAACTGAATGGTAAAAACAGTGTTTCAGCAGTTTTCTAACATTTCCCTAAAACGTTTTAGAAATGGAGGACACTCCTGAAAAAAAATAGCCATAATTTTTTTTTCTTTTTTGCAACTTATAGCAGGGGCTGATCCTACTGTGCTGTACCAGAGGGGGTGAATGTGTTTGCTCCCATGAATCTGACCTGCCTGACCCCTCCTGTAGATGCTTCTACTTCTTACCTGTTTTTCTCAAACTTCCAAAATAAACAAACCTTTTCTGTGCTCTGGATGATAAAGCTGATTCCTCATCTCTGCTTATCTTTTTTATGAGGCATTTGCTGTTCTTCTGCCTGGAAACTGCCATGCTTTACGTATTGCTGGATGTATAGAGTTTGCAGAGCATTTTAGAATGAGCATCTCTTACCCTCTATATTATAATAAAATCACTAGGCAATGAAATAGGCTAAATTATCACCTGAATAAATGTAGTTCAGTTAAAAATATATACTCACCTACCTGCTCCCTGTATGAAAATGGAGAACTATAAAAAGTAGACAGGTTTGTATGGAAGGTTCTGCTAATATTACACATTTTTCAGTGGTTGGAGAAATTTGATTCATTTAAAAGCCTGGTGTGAATTCACCTGGCAGCATTTCTCTTTTTTTTTTTCCCTCCCCAGATCATTTCTGAAGGACAAAAAAGTCCTTTGTGTGAAATGAGGTTTGTTTTACATTCAGCAGCCACAGGTGTAGGCTGAAAAATGGCTTGTTGGGGACCGGCACGTGGCCAGAGACAGCGTGGCCTTGCTGGGCAACGTGAGAGGCATCCACCCCTCCTGGTTCACTGCAATTTCTCAAAATACATGAGAGGACACAGTTTGGGACAGCCAGCTCATAACGGGCCAAGTGCTGTGCTGGTTGTGCTCCTCGGGCTAAAACCCACCCAGGTGTATTGGCCATGGGCTCTGCCTGTGAGATCCTCCCTAATTTGCAACAGCTCATATGATTAAATCTCATGGCCTGACTGCTCCATTTTGGGTTAAAAAAACCAGCCAACCAAAAAATAAAACTAAAAAACCCAACAACAAATAAAGCAAGCTAGTTTGGTTTGAAGTGCATGGAGTATGTGCACATGAATGACTCCGTGGAGCAGCAGCATCTTTGTGAGGGCATCTGCACCCGGGAGGAGGAGCTGACACTTGGCGGTCGCTGTCCTGCACAGGTAATGATAATGGATAAATGCTCCTTTCCTCCTTCCTGGTGTCACCTAATTTAGTAGCTTTTGAGGTAGGCACTTTACTCATAACAATAATCAGTGATATTCTCCGAGACGACGATCAGCCGAGCCTGGCCGGGGCTGCTAGTGGTCATGTCTGCGTGACTGGTTCTGCACTTACCTGATGGTTGAGAAAAATGGAAGGAAGGAGATCTGTTCTGATCAGCCTCAAAAAACCCAAAAGGTTTGAAATATTTGGTGAACTAGGTAATTGCTAATAGTTTTGTTTCACGTCAAAGGAACAATTATATTTATTTTTCAAGCTTTCCCAACAAAAAACTTAAGGCCACCCTCCTCCCCTGGCTTTTAAAAGGTAACATCAGTTCAAACTGAAAAACAGGAACATCTTGTTTTCAAAACACTGAAACAAAATAATTGATATTCACCTTTGCTTTTCACTTTTTCCTGCACAACAAAAACAATTCAGCAAAGTTTGTATACAGTTGTGAGATGTTTGGGTACGCCACAAACCGTGCTGGTTTCTTTCTGAAAGAGCCAAGTGTTCAGTGGAGCAGAAAAGTGAGGGGTTTTTCCCAAATCTTTGATAGATGATGAGCAATACAGTGGCTAATGGAAAGCTGGTGCTTCTCAGATTCTGAGCCCATGCAAAAAGTTGTATTACTGCAAATACTGGTTCAATCCACTTTAATGGCTGCAGCTGTTTTAATAAGGGCAGGACTGTATGAGAAAGGAAATGAGCTGACTGATTTTTAAGATGCTTTTACCCTGAAATTGCCATTCCCTCTCAAGGTTATGCTAGTACAGTTGTATTGCTACAAGATCACAGCTTTTGTAGTCAAAACAGGTGCAGGAGTCTGCTTGGACCAGGCTTACGCAAGCCAGCTCTTTCTCAGCATCTCTTTCCATTGAACTTTTCTTCTGTGGCTGGTGATGAGGCTGGAGACAAGGATGCAAAGCCAACAGCATCCTCTGCCTTGCTTTGGGGCTTCATTCCCTTTTTGTCCCTAAAGTTTGAAATCACTGCATTTGTCTTCTTGAGATGTGCAAGCTCTTGTGTTCCCTGAGCCCTCTCTCCTTTCTGTGTTCACCTCAAGCTCCCACTGGAGTTGAGTACACTTGTGCTCCCACTTGCAGCCTGGGTACGTTTGGTGAGATAAAGTGATGTCTCCTCAATCAGAAAAGCTAAGCCAAAATAAGCTCTCCTTTGTCCTAGCTGGTGACATTTAGTGAGTCTGCTGCAAGGTGCCAAGTTTCAGAGTATTACAGCAGGGATGTTCACACTTCAGATTTAGATGTTCCAGAATAGAAATAAGACCTGACATAAATAATCTAATTAAGAAAATAACAACTATTAAAAGGCCATGTGAATTTGGCACCTGGAATACTTATGCATGCTTTAAATCCCACAAGGGTGCTCTCATAGACTCATAATGCTTTTGAATAATGCACTGCCATTTTCACATTGCACTTTTCCATTCAGGGGGTTTGCAGCACTGGTTGTTCCCTGCTGTCCCAAATGCCCAGCTGGGACATCAAGAGGTGAAATGTTTGCACCGGGCAGTCAGGACCAGTCTCAGAAACAGGGTAGATTTGCCTGAACGCTGAATTTCACTACCATGTATTTCTCATTTGAGCGGCCTACAGGAACATTAGTCCCTTTTGCAGGGCATAAATGTGATATTAAAATGAAGGTAGAGAAAGAAATGGCACAGGCTAACATCCCCACTGAAACACCATCTCTCTTTGGGGCAGCAGGAGTTGTCAAAAATCACATTTGCAGTGTTAACGCTTCAGTAGGGGGTTAACTGTGCCAGCCATCAGACCGATAATTCCCGTTAAAATTATTGTTTTACCTCGCTCCATCCATTTACTCATGTTGTTTTGCCAGCCCACAGATCTCTCCGTTAATGTCAACAAAATGATTATAGACTGCAACAGCATCAAGACGTTTCACCCGCAGGAGCGCTGGTGAAATGTTTATGGTGCAACATGTTGAAAGCAGCGTTTGATGTCAAACGTCAGGAACGATCAGCTTTCCTGTTGCCAGAACCAAACCACACAAATACAGGGGCTGAAAATGTCACACCTGCAACTGAAGAGCTACCTTATCTCCAGCCACGTAAATTGTCATGTAAACAGCCAATGTCTGTGTCAGCAATGGTGCAGAAAAGCCTCCACAGCTCTGTGCTAGTGACGCCTTGCACCGTTTCTGATTAGTAACTCACAATCAGCAGCATGGACCTTCCTTCAGCATCGGTGATGGAGCTGATGCTGCAGAGCTGGATGAAGGACATCCATGAGGACGGCAACTCCAGCCACAGATCAGACCTCTGCTTGAAGGGAAGACAACTTTGTGAAGGATGAAGATGCACCCTGGGAGCTGCCTTTGCGTTTGTAATAATGATGAGCATCTGCAGCCTGGAGATCCTTGCTTTGTGGGCACCAGCAGACGAATCCTCATGTCTTGGCATGGTGGTACCTGCGCCCACACAGTGGAGAGGTGGGGTGCCATGGGGCTGGGAGCAGAGGGCCCCCTCTTTCTGTCTCTGCCATCCACGCTGGCACTGGAGGTGAGTCGCACTTTCTGCTGGCAGACAGGTGGTCGAATAAAGGTTGCTGTCGGTCCACCAAATACTTTGTGACTCCAGTCTCACTGATGCTGAGGGTGCTCAGATCTACTGCTGGTGGCTTCTGCAAATCCCACCGATAGATCAAACCCACATTTTTGCAAATAAACCTTTACGAATTCCCCATTGCATCAGCACTCCTCATTTCTTGGTAATATGAGTTACAAAGAAAAGTCTGATGAAACAAGCCAGATCTGAAGGCAGAAGATATTGAAATCTGGAAGATTTAATTTAATATTTTTATTACATATTTTTGGAGCCCTGATTATCCCCCCATCCCCCCACCCTCCAGGAATTTATTTACTTAAGGAAAATTATACTACTGATTACAAGATTGCAGGTTCATTTTCACTGCTGAGAACTTTTTTTTTTTTTTTACAGCTCACGTTACACTTGCATGACTTGTAAAGTTTTGTAACATCTTGAAATTTTTAATGCTACATTGCAGAAAGGTACTTATCTATAGATGAACCAGGCAGAATACTTGCTTGCAGTCTTTTTGAGGGGAGAAAAAAGGTAATTTCTTCATTTGAATAGGCCTGTAAATGGTTTCTTTGAGCTATTGGATAGCGAGTTCACAGAGTGCTCACAGGAGCTGCCTTGCGTTTGTCCTTCAGGCTGGGTGCAAAGTGAGAAACTGTGAGGGTTGTCTTTAAAACATAAGAAGGAATGCTTTCTACAGGGGAATAAAAATAAATTATGCAGAAATCGTGACTATAGTGTGCATGAAATTATGCTGGCAGAATCCTTACAGTAAATATTTGACAAATAGGACATCATCTTAGAATTTTAGTTTTTCCAATAAAGCATTGCACTGGGGCCTTTCAAATCATAATTCACGTCAGCCAGCACTGCATACTGCGTTAAGGTCAGGGGAGGTTTTCAGATGTATTGTGATGATTATGTAACAATTCAGTTAACAGAGCCACAGAATTGGATGAGATTTTTGTCAATTCCGATGTCACAGCAACAGAGACCTTTGACTGAAACAACGTCATGAATATTGGATAAGATCCTGCAGTGCTGCTCCCCCATGTTACGATATTATCCAAGGATTAGGGTTATAAATACATGAGTTATACTGTTCACTTTCCAGTGGGTAAAAACAAAGAAAAAAACCCCATAATCAAGTTTCAATACACAACTAGATATAATATAGCTTTTTCTTTATATATATATCTGTATATATATCAAGTAAAAAAATCTAAAATTGTTGGAAGTAAAAAATGAAAAAATAGCAGATTGTGTTATTTTTTTTCCTTTACAGTGATATGGTAGCAAATACAAGACAAATGAGTAATAAACCTTTACATAAGGAGTTCTGGTCCCATCTCCATCAATAGGGCTCAGACTGGAGTAGAAAATGGAACAAGGTGATTTTTTTTTTTTTTTTGGCTACAACTTCTGCAAGTGACAAAGATGATGTTGATAAAACAGAAGGAAATTATAGCACTAAATAAAACAAAACTCCAAAGTGTTTCCGAAAAGACCTTAAACACCATAGGGCAAGATTGACTTCTGAACTGGGGGAGCAAACACAAAGCATCACTGAGTCCTACTGAGGCTGAAAATACTATATGCTTATCCTGGCCTCAAAATGCATCCCTTTTGTGCCATCTTACTGTAAAAGAACTTTATCAAAAAGGAAAGCCACAAATCCATTGAATGGACCGAGTCAGATGTAAGACCTCAGTGATGTGCAAGTGGTTGGCTGCCCTTTGTCCAGCAGTGAATTTTCCCCAGAATCCTTTACATTGAAAATGTCAATTGACTAAGCTTGGCAAATGGTCATGCTGAGCCCTATTTTGGCCGTAGAAAAGAAAGAAGTACTAGTCTCAGCATAAAACAAGATCATATAGACGGTCAACACAAAACAGTAATTTTTTTCAGTTGTCTGCATAACGATGACATCATGTTTGCATATAGAACAGCTTTTGCATTATTGCTCTACTTATAAGAATATAGTCAGGAACTTATAACAGACTTGCACATTACAAACTTAAGGTTCTTTGGTGAAGAATGAGAAAACAGTATTTTCACTGTAATTGAATCTTAGAGAAGTTTTCATTTTTATCTATTGATCCTTTGGATTCTTTCACAGAGGAGGGAAAGGTATTGAGTCAGCTTTACCATTGCGACGATGACGACCCCGCCGATCATCATGCAGGTGGGCCAGAAGAGGGAGTGGAACAGCACGTTGGAGCTGTACAGTTTGGTTAATATCACATTCTTCTGAACACCTTCGGGGTCGTAGAAGCAGGAGAAGCGTTGGTACTTTCTGAAGTTTTCCATCACGACGTTCACAAGCGACATGGATTCCTCATAATTCTTGCCGCACTTGGGTATGTACGAACACTGAGAAGAAATTAGAAGGAGAAAAATACATCTCCAAACCAGATACAATGTCTATTTCAGGTGACAACCAGGAAAATCTCAAGATGATTATGCTTTTCATAATAAAAGTGGAATACCATTAAGCTAATAATAAATTTATCACAGACAAAACTCAATATTTTGCACATCTACAGAATTTCCCATTGGACAAACTCCAAATGCTGTACAAACATTAATGCTTTAATCTGCACAGCGGCCTCGTGAGATAGGTGAATATATTATTACTGCTAATTTACACATGCAAAAATGGAACTGATGAAGTACCTCTTCATTTTAAGTGGCCTGCGTATGCTCGCAGTTAGATGGGTAATTGACTCTTTGTAAATACAAATCTGGTAGTTTAGATCTCACTTGGACTGGATCAAAGGGATCACAGTGGGCACAGGAGTTCATTCACAGAGGAGAAGACTGACGAGAGACCTTTATACAAATTTTCCCGTGGGAGTAATGCCTTGATTTGGGACAAATAGTCTAAGAGAAAGTGCAGTTTTCCTACTGACAACCCAGAAGACTTTCATTCAACCTCTAGCTTGTTTTTGCTCTTGACCTCAGCATAAATCCAACAGCTTTTCCTCTCTGAAGATGCTGCTTGAATTTCAGTCTCAGTTACAAAGAAAAGATTTGGGAGTGGCTCTATCCAATGCAGTTTCAACCTAGCATTTCCAAAGAACACTAAAGGCAAGTGAATTAAAAAACTAGCTTATGGAGTCCGTGCCTTGAAGATACTTGATGAAACACGCAGGACAGTGGCCCTGGGCTGTGCTGACTATTCCCTGGAAAGATCTAGTGTGGGCAGGTGAGGTGGTGGACAGACACACCAAGACTGAGGCCACATCTGGATTTTGACCTAGAGCAGAAACACCTGAGTTTGCTGTTGCTGCTGCTGGTCTGGAAAAGAATCGATGGGACCATCCTAGGCCCCCTCACTCCCTCCTCTCTTTTAGACACTTATGCCTCTCCACACCTGAAGGTTTTCTACACGTGCACAGGATTTTTATTAAATTCCCTACTTAGGCAAGAACTGCTTCAGGAGGGGTAGAAATCTGCTGCTTAACTTCTTGCTGAATGTGCATGGGAGGACCCAGCAAGTCACCGCTCCCTCGCAGTTATGGGGTGATCGTAGGTCCCACCATGCTCCCTGCCTGTGCTACTGAACCTGTTTGTCCTGGGTGAGCACCTAAAGTAGCTCCAGATTATTTAATGAGAGAAATAGAGTTTTGCAAAATAAAAAAGACATTTCAATTAAAATAATGTGACCCATGACTTTTATTTTTTGTTTTAATGTATATACTTTATAAATGTCCCTCCATTCTTTTTGATAACTGTGCTGTGACTTTTTTGTAATGTACTGTGACAAATCTCTAGTCCTAGTAATGATCAAAGGATTAACCTCATAACAGGATTTGATTGATTCATTGGCAAGTTTATTACCCCAGACCATGACTTGAAGCGTGGCAGAAAGATTGTCTGGCTTTAGCAGACTGGAGCATTAAGGGTAGAGCATGGCAGCACTGCCATTATGAATATTTCATAGAGCTCTAGAAATTAGAGATGGGAAATATCAGAGCAGTGATATCTCATCCATCTTCCTGCTGGTGCAGGTCTGTTTCCTCCAGGATATTCTCTTGCACTCTGCCCGGCTTTGTCTTAAATGTCCAAAGCCAGAAGACCTCTTCCAGTGCCTGTGACTCTTTAATAGATCATAATCTAATAAGTAGGGAAAATTTCTCAGTGAAGCGTACCTCATTTTCTTTTACTAAATTAAGTTCTATCACTGTCGTAACAGCAGTATTTCCAGCTCAGATTTTTTTTTCCCTTACAACTTTAGTGCTATGCATTTTTGTTTCTTGAAGTCCCATGAAATATCCTGAGGGAGGAGATTAAATGAGGACTTGGCCACTCTTGCCAAAGTCCAGCCCTTTCCCCTTGACAGAAAACAGCAGGCGTGTAAAAGCCCAAATGATGACAGATTCCTGGACTCAAAGTCTGCAGAAATCTCCCACGAGTGCAGTGGCAGGAGGTCTGACTTCCTGCAAGTCTGAGTATTTTCCAAGCATTTTCAAAGGAGACCTGATGCTGAAGCAGAACTTGAGCTGTTGCCTCCTACACCTGATGGCACAGAGCCACAAGCTGTGTTGGGCTGGTTGGGCTGCCCATGTCAAGAGAGTCTGGTAGAGCTGTGAAATGCAGTTGTGCAAGGGAGGTTGATTTACTTTGCCTTCAGCCAGGCTCCTTGTGCTGAAACCATTTCTCTCTCCAGGATATGGTTTCCCATGCACTCTCCAAGACATGGATGCCCTTTGCTCCATGTGCTAACTGCCTTCTTCCAGTTCTCCTGAGCTCCTGGAAGAATCTTGGCCTCAGCTTTGAGGAGCTCCTTGGCACGTTGGCCTGATAATGCCTGATATTGTTCCAGAGAAGGGCCACAAAGATGATCAAAGGGTTGGAGCACCTCTCCTTTGAAGACAGGCTGAGAGAGTTGGAGTGGTTCAGCCTGGAGAAAAGAAGGCTCCAGCAAGACCTTCTAGCAGTCTTCCAGTAACTAAAGGGGACCTACAAGAAAGCTGAAGAGGGACTTTTTACAAGGATGTGTAGTGATAGAACAAGGGACAATGGCTCTAAATGGAAAGAGGGGAGATTTAGATTGGATATAAGGAAGAAATTCTTCACTCTGAGGGTGGTGAGGCACTGGAAGAGGTTGTCCAGAGAAGTTGTGGATGCCCCATCTCTGGAAGTGTTCAAGGCCAGGCTGGATGAGGCTTTGAGCAATCTGGTATAGGGGAAGGTTTTCCTGCCCATGGCAAGGGGGGTGGAATTTGATCTTTAAGGTGGCTTCCAACCCAAACCATTCTGTGATTCCATGATTGTATGATTGATTCCTGAAGACTGAATTCTCCAGCCCCCACCTAGAAATGGGTCTGCTGGGAACTGCAGGCAAACATCGCTGCTACCCCTGCACCAGACAAACTCCTCTTTGGCTAATAGGTACATTAGACATTCAATGGGAAACCATGAGATGCCCCATAATTTCTGAGTCTGGCAGTTAAAGCTCGCATAACGGTGAGTAAAGTCTGCTTGTTATCTCACTTACGGAGCATGTGTATAAATTAGCAGTAGCTTCAATGACACAAAAAGAATCCAAATGGTATAGCATAAGATTGAAACGGGGCCTCTAGAACTGCTTTAACTACTGCAGCCCTTACTTAGCATGACAGCCTGGCTCCGTGGTCTGGGCATGAGAGGACACTGATTGATTTACCTCTCGCAGAGGCTGTTACAGCCTCTGCCAGCTGAGGAAGGAAAGTGCAGCCACCAGAGCATTTAAGCTGCTACGGTTGTAGTATTGACAAGGGGCTGGGCTTGTCCTAAAGGCTAGAGATAAAGTATGCATGGCGAGAGTGATGAAAAGCCGTGAAAAATCCCTGTGCTTTCCTGGGAAAGACTTGAGCAGCTCAACTGGTATCTGCTCACTTCCCACTGATCCCCACCGCAGACGGGCAGCAGCGCACTGCAGGCCCCAGTACAAACGGCACCTACGCCCTGCCGCACCTGGTGTGCCGAGAGCCAGCTTAGGCAGCGAGCCTCCTAGATTAACAATTATTTAAAATCAAAGTGCGTTTCGCGGCATCCGCACTAGCTGGCGGTGATAGAAGAGAGACGGGCTATAGATGCTGCTCCGCGTGCGCGGCGGTGCTGGGTGAGGCAGAGGGGTTGGCGGGGGGATGCTGCCCTTTTGAAGGCCACTGGTGTCGGCCTCGGAGAGTAATATCAGGGCTCAGTGAACCAGGGACGGCTTTTTTTGTTGTTTGGCAACGAGAAAGGCAGGAAAGGCAGATCTGGGCAGGCGGATGGAGAGAGGCAGCTAGCACCCAGCTGGAGCTTCACAAAAGTGGCCATGCTTGGGGCTGCTCATCCCGCTACACATCCCACTCGGTCCGGGGAGAGGGAGTGCCCATGCAGGCAGTTGAGATGGGTTGTGCTGATCTGAGCTTGGAGCCTCTGCTGATGCCAGCCAGGCACAAGAAGCTGGGTGTTTTATAGACATTGCAAACTTCCATTCAGAACCATGTTTGGATTCAGGTCACACAGCCAGCAGCGTGTCAGGAAAACCTAGGAATCCTCCCGAGAGCAGAGCTTAACCTGTAAAACAACCTTGGGCAGGAGAAGCATTAACTGTGCCCACATTAAATTAAGAGGGGGCAGCATCTGGGAGAATTTCAAAGTCCATTTCAGCAAGCAAAAATCATCGATAACAGAATGTGGACATTTATGCTGAATCTCTTGATTTGTTTGAATCCAGTGGAGTACAGAGAGCAATCTGATCTGTTTTAATCAAACTGCAGCATAAGCGCCAGTGGATTTTGCTTCTGCCCCAGCAGAAAGCAGGGTCTGTCCTGCTGCAGGCATCACGAACGGTGAGTACCTCCTTTCTGCCCAGAACCAGAGGGGAAGACGGGGCACTCTTCTCCATTTCACACTTCAAATCCAGAGGACTTTGTCCCTCAGCCACAGGAGCTAATTATCCAGGAGAATAACTGGCCCGGTGCAACCACTCTGTGCTTTGACTGATTTTAATATCGCTTCATCTTAATATGCAGAAGTAATTTGGTCTACTGAGCCGCCGCCATAAATAGAAACACAATAGGTTACGTTGTCAGCAGCCTGATCCGAGGCTCTGCTGCTACCGGCTGCGCTTTGCTGAGCGCCCGTAGTTTGGGGTTCAGTGACCTTGGATAACTAAGTAGTTAATGCAAATCTGGTACTTGCAAGTCTAATGACTTAGCTGCGTCCCGGCTCGCTGCAGCTTGAGGTCTTAGGTACCCAGGCGCTGCAGATGCAGTGAAGGGGAGATGGGGAGAGGGACATTTCTTGGTCCGACCCTGTTGGCAGCAAACAGCCACCTGCGAAGAGGTGGTCGCTTGCCCGGCGCGGTGCACAGCACTGCGTCAGCCTCACAGCTGTGGCTGTGGGCAGGAGAGGAGATGTCTTCTCTGCATCTGCTGCCTTCATTATAGCCTCCAGACAGGAGCTGTCTCCGTCCCACCTGGATGGAGTTATACTGGATTTTGTACTTGCTGAAGCAGGGAGAGGAATTCTTCTGCAGATTCTGCATTCATTTTTTCAGTTCAATGTCTGGAATTAGGAATGTTGTGCAAGAAAGATGGGCCAACTCCTTAGCTTATGCGTGCCTAAAAGCAAGGCTTTTTATTTTTATGCTGCTGCTTTTATCTTGATGGTCCCTGCTCAGTAAACTTTCAGCATCTTTGCACCATCCGCAGGGGTAAGTGCTGTGCCTTGGCCCCAGCAGCACAGCTGCCCTCAGCAGAGAGGCTCGGGGTGCAGAGTTTGTCACCAGAGATCGAGACGGAGACGCGTCTGCTGTTCGACATGGGGCTCTCGTCTCTCCCCAGCACCTTGCCTGGCCCTGCCGTAATAAGGCCATTTCTATTCTCACTGCTGCGGATGCTCCGTGCACATGGCTGGGGATGTTCGCTATCATGCAAAGCCATGCCCGAGTGGGAAGTGGCTTGTCTGCAGCTCCATGAGAATATCAATGTGACAAGTGCTCAGTGCTAGCCTGTGCCTTTGGAGCACTGCTTGCACCACCAAAGGACGAGGGAGGCTCCAGCCCCCGGGGCCACCGTCCCGTGTGGGACAGGCTGTGTTCCCTGCACAGGACAGAGGTGGGAAACTGCTCCCTCCAGAGATTTGAACTCAGTTTGTGCACTGATTTCTGTTTTCTCTACTCCACATTTACCATGGAAGCAGGAGCACTGGAAACCCTATATTGCTTTAAAGTGAGGAATGGATGTAACAAGGTGAGAGCCTTCCAGAAACCCATTTAGGAAGAAATTTCATTCTGTGCTCTTACCTCAGAATTAATTTTCATTGTCTCCTCAGTGTGGTAGAGTAGAAGCTTCTGGCCAGAAGAGGTGAGATTAACATACACCTGGAGGCAGGGATACTGAGAGATTTTCCAGCAGTCTGGGCCACAGCTAAATGAGCAGTTGAAGGTTTCTGTGATGGATGCATTGAGAAGCGAGCACTGAGCCTCTTCTGTCCAGACACTAAGTAGGAAAAAAAGAGACGTTAGAGCATGGCAAGAATGGGCAATAAGCATTAAATGCAGCTCAGGCTTTCTGTCAGGGATACACCAAAGGACATCTTGTAGGAGATGGTACATGTTGCAGGGCTTTGAGCAAAGGCTGGACTTTCTCACATCACGCATCACAGACAGTGTGTTATTCTGTGGTACCCAAAGTTTGTGCTTTGGGCACAAAAATACCCAATTCACTTATGTCTATGTATAGATGAAAAGGAAACTGGAACTTTTAGTCTGGAGAAGGTGTATTTGAAACCAAAGGGAATTAGAGGAGAAATCAGAGAAGAAAACTGAGCGGCCTGCCTGGGGAGAGCACAGAACACATGGTGCTGCATGATGGGACACGCTGGACCAAGATACGATGGTTAACCATGAAGTCCAGTTCAGCTTAAAGTGGAGGCTGGGAGGGCAACTTTGCATTACCAAGGTATGTATATTGTTATGCATAAAGACACAGTAAGACATGAGTGGCACTGCATGCAGCTCCCTCTGTGGAAAGGTTTTTTCTAGTGGCAGCTTGCTTGGTTTTCCATAAGTCAGCTGATAGAATCGCTCTGCAGGATTTCAGCTTCTTTCCAATTCACCAGAGGCTAAAACTGGAATGATTGAGCCTGGGTGTGCACTGGCAACGTTCGCTTGAGTTTCTTGTATGTATTTAAAAATCTACGGCTGTATTTTCCTTAGGGATGAGAGCAGTGGGAAGCACACACTGAGGGCTTTGTGTAAAGCCCTTCGAGGGCTCAAGGAAAGGTTTCACCCCAGAGCTCCCCTTTAGCCCTGCTCAGCCCCTCAGCTCCCACCCAGCGCAGCTGTCTTGCCCTCACCATGAACAGCTGAGGGTCTGTTTGTCCCTTGCCAAAGCTACAAAAGGCTTTACATGGTGAGTGGTATCAAAGATTTCTAACTAATCCTCTTGGTATTTTACTTTGGCAGGAATTCTGCTTGTATATTCTGTTTTACATTTATATTAAATTATTCTATGATTTCTGGGGGGAAATCAAGTGAAAGGACTTTTTTCCCCCTGTCAGGCAGTATTTTGTTGGAGGAGTGTTGCTATCTCTAAAGGAGAATAACCCCTAAGGAGATTTGCCTGTGCAAAGAGAAGTGACAGCAAAGACTCCTGGGCTGTCTTCTCCTCAATTTCACCTTTCTGACTGCTGTTTTATTCATGCATGGGGGTAATAAAGTAACACCTACCCACAACAGACTTGTGAAGATGGAATATTTAATACTTCGTAGGTGCTTTGATATCTTCTGGCAATTTTTCACATAGTTTGTAATATAAATCCTCTCTTTCCACATGAGCAATTTTGACCTTAGCAGCCTCTGCAACTGACCTGAAAGGTCTGGGAGAGCAATTTGGAAAAGCAAATGCCCTTGGATACTTAACAGGTCTTGATCTCTGTTTTCAAAATCTAAACTTTGCCTGGATTTAAAAAGGGACAAATATCTTTATCGCCCAAATAAGACGCTGCAAATCAGTACAGTTTATCCTCAGGCATCACTACTTTTCCCTTATTATTGCAGGGTCAAGAAGGAATATTTTCCTGCAGGTGCACCAGTATAATAGAGGATGTTCATGCCAGTTAGCTGAAGGCACTTACTGTTCATGCCTAAAGAAGACAACTGTGGTGGATCAGCCAAAACGTGCCAGGTACTGGCTGCTGCTTCAGGGTGTTTATGGGCATGGCAGACTAATGTTTTGATTCCCAATTACATATTTTTCATTCTCCTAACTCCACTGATGAGGGCAGAAAAAACATTGTTGACAGTCTTATTACAATCTGGGCTGGATTTTAAATAGGGCTGGTGCTTGAAAACTGGTTTCAAATGTTGCTAATGAATCACAGGCCAAACTTTCAGCTCTGTTGCAGAGAAGGAAGCCAGAGAAGGTCTTAGAAAAATTAAGTGCACTGCAGTAATGATGAAAGATGATCTTTCACTTTCAGCAAATTACTATATTTCAGGAGGATTTCACTCGTTAAAATGAAAGTAATAATCTACATGGAAAATGACATGTTACAAAGCAACTTGATTTCTTTCCCAAATTAATTTTCCATTCTTCATTTGAAAGCGCGTTGTTTCTCGAGTCTACTAAATATTTCTGCTGTTCTCTCCTGAGTTTGAGTTTTGCAGTAACAGCCCCTGAGAGGCTTAAAAGGTTCAGCAGACTGCTGACCAGCTGATACAGGTATTATACTGGTGTTAAACTGTGGCAAGTCTCAAGCAAAGATCAAGGTTTCCTCCAACAGGGATCTAGTTCTTCCCTCACTTATGCCAGTATTCCTCAACTCACTTTCACTGTAGTTATGCCTCAGTTATAGGGGGGTAAGGGAGTGGAGAATCAAGCCTAGATTGACCAAAGGATAAAAATATAAAACTTTAATAAAAAGAATCAAAAGAATAAGCCACAGGAAGCCAGGTGGAGCAGAGAGCGTAAGATCAGGGTAACCATCATGAAATTACCTTTGCATGTAAGACCGAAGCAGAGTGATTCCCAGGAGAAAGTACATCATGATAGAGCACACCATCATGGCCAGCCCGAGGAGTATGGCCCGGTCTTCTCCAGCTTTTAGGGCTGTGACTGTTTTCCTTTTGTCCAGTAGATCGTGATCCCTGATTTTTTGGTAAATATTTCTGAGGTTGAAAATAATACATTTTTATGTGAAGTTCATATTTAATCAATGAACCCTCTACAGGGTGGGTAGTTCCACCTCCATACCCATCTCGTGGGAGAGAAAAGCTTAAGGGTCCTCAGGTGTCCTTTTTCATCAGATTCACTCTGACTGGTGGAAACTTATGCATCTCCAAAATAACTTACAGCCATTTCTGAAAAGCTGAAAAACTCTTATAGTAAATATAAAGATTAGACCCTTGTGCCAGCTCAGTAAATCCTTCTTTGGTACAACTTCATTGGCTCAGTTGAATTGTACCATAGGTGAATTTGACCTGTCAATGCCAACTTGGGGCACTAGAAGATGTTTAGGTATAAGATGTGTCTTTTCTTCAGTTGAATATGGTAACAGGTCTTATGTTACCATATGTAGAAAACAGCCTGAAGAAAGTCGTCACTAAAATTATCTGAAAGGACCACATTCTTTTTTGATTCCCTACAGGCTAGTGGTTTGGGTAATTTTCCGCCTTGAGAGTGACTCAAAGCTCATGAAACACTATGGGGATTTTGCAATTGATTTCCGTGAGTTTTTTGATTGGGAGCTTATTTACTTTATTTATAAAATAGCTTTCTGGAAGCCCAGTTACTCATTACAGTGAAAACTCTTGCAGAAAATTATCCACCAAAGCCATTTGTTCTGGGATTAAAAAAAAGAAGATACAACAAACCATTCCCCCTTTAGTAGAGAGTCCTTTGCATTTTCTAACGGTAAGCCCTTCTTTCATCTCTGAGCCTTTGATGATTCAATGGGTCATGAGGACACAATAGTGAAGAAGGAAATATTTGAGTACATTTCAAACACACTCAAACTTTGTGGGTTTAAAATGTACTTACAGACCTGAGGTTGGTCAAAATCTCCTGTGTTTTCTGTTATGGTTCTTTTGAATCATCCAGGCAGCACACGAAGCATGTGAACCGCACACCTCTGAGCCCTGGCACCACCATAACATGGACATAGTAGTACACGTGGAAGAAGTTCCTCTTCTACTGTCTGCAAAATGGCAGGTGAGCAACATCAACACCACTTTGGGCTCTTGCAAACCCACCACTCATTTAAGCTGAAACCACCAAGTTTCACTCAACCTTGGAGAAAAGCACTGCATGTCAGACCAACCATACAACTTACATTCACGATAGGGACAAAGAAATAAAGTTAAGACAGATGTAGAATCATACATAAACACAGTAGAAACAAGAAAATAGGTTTAATCATAAACGCCCTGAAACTGGAATTGAATTTGTATTTAGGTGATGAGTCATAGCCAGGAAAAGCACATATGGTGTGGGGTTTTATAGCCATTATTTTGCTTAGATGGTAGTCTGTCAATAGTCTTCCATACCTAAGAACCCCTTCTTCATCCAACGGTAATTTACGTCTTTAGATGCCCATGGTTTCTCCTTAAAACCATCCTTTAAAGCTTGTCAATGTTTTCCTAGTCGGAAATGAAACGGTAATTCACCCTGTCAAATTTTTCTCTGGTGTTTGGGAGAAAAAAATATATTGTGAACTGGCAGATGCAATTGCCTTCAAAGAAGTAACGCAGAGTAATAATCTAATGTTACTTTTCTATTATTATTTATCAAACTGTGTTTAACTCTGAGAGCTGCTATTAGGATTTGCATTGCTCCCAGATGGAAGGAGGCAGGAAGGCAGAGATTGTCATGCAGTTCCAGCACATTAACCGATCACATAGCATAACTTATGTCAGCGTGTAGACATAAAACAGAGACAGCGCAATCGCTCACTAATGTCACCAGAGCAGCTAGAACATAAAAGGGATACAAATGGACAATTTGAAAACAAATAGCTAATTGACAATGGTTACAAATACTTCCTATGTGGCCTTGAGCCAAGAAACGTGCAGTGAGAGGTAAAAAAGGATGGACTGAAGGGTATGTTGTGGAAGCTATCTATCTGGCAGGTGACTGGCAAAGGGGATGGTGTGCGGTGACCGCTTGCCAGGCGGATCTCCCGAATTCGCCTGCCATGGTAAATAAAGCTAAATAAAGCTCTGCCTCGGAGGTCACGCTCGCAGCAGTCCTTTGGTTGCTCTTTTGCAAATATTTGTTATTCAAAGCTCCGAACAACAGGAAAGTGGTAGCCTGGTGCACCTTACTGAGGGCTTTTTTCCTCCTGAATTCCTGCCAAGGAGTCAGTCTGGTGACACAGGCTGAGGCATGCGGTGGCGTGGCATGTGCCAGCGCGTGATGCACTGGTCCTGGTGCCGCCCAGGAGACGTGCTGAGTAACGACCCTCCTCCTCCTCCTTCTTCTCCTCCTCCTCCTCCTCCTCCTCCTTCCTCTCGTGCCTGCACCTGGGAGATTCCGATTTGTTCTGTGTGATACTGGGAACGTCTGCTATTACCAGACTTCACATTTTTACCCCCGAAAGCCCTAGTTTTGGGGGACATGATATGTTGTGCAGAATGTTTTGCCACTAACAGAGCAGCCTCAGCGTCTCCTTAGGTGGAGCGGCAGCGGTGGCTGCACACGTGTGCGCTGCTCTGTGGGGGGGATTTTGTGTACGTGTAACTTTGGGCCCAGCCCAGGGACCTCTTTCTGCTTGGTGAGCTGGAATCGTGCTGTGCTTAGCCAGCTGATTTGGGATACCAGGGCTGCACAGCCACAATTAGCCAACTGCTGTGGTGTGTTTAAGTACAGATCACTGCATCCCAGACACTACTCACTAGGTGACTCCATCTAATGCTTATGATTACCTGTGGTAACTCCCCAAATATGACACCGAGGGGGGCTGTTTGTTTTCAAAGAAGTCCCAGCCGTCAGAACATGAGGTGTCTCTGCCTTGTGCAATGACATTTAATAGAAAGCAAGCCTCCAAGGATAAAAGGTCTTTGCTCTCCTGATTGTTTCCAAACTGAAGTTCTTCCCTCCTAAATCTCCATGTTCCTTTTGCCAAATTGCTCAGAGGATACGGGCTGGCTGCTCAACCCAGGCTCAGCTGCCAGAGAGGAAATCTGGGCCATGACCGTGCCTGCTGGAGACAGATCAGAGATTTCCCTTTCCATATCTCTGCACAGCAGCAGCGTGGGTATCCCTCTGCAATGTGGTCAGCAGCTCCTTACGTGATCTCCAGAGGAAGGCTTAGGGAGTACCTGTGTGATGAAATTAGGCAGCCCAGGTTACGTTAGTCAGCTTAAACACAAGACAGCCAAGGAGAATTACAGTGCCAGTTTAAGCCTACTAGCCTTAATAAGAAATTCTGCATCTTCTGTAGAGTTACTCCTTTTTGCTGTAGCCAAGACCTTTCTTTGCCATCATGAGGAATGTGGTCTTTTAGCACTCAGTTATGTGAAGGATGAGGCATGCTGCTCGCATCCTATGTGCTCTATGCTCTGCTGGTGCAGGGCTGCTCCACAGCTCTAGGGACACAATGAGTTTATTGGCACGTATTAGGAATGGTCCAGTATACTGAGGGCTTGCAACCGGGCACTGCCATGTAGAGCAGAAGAGGCTAAAATAATGCTTCTTCTGACCCAGCACAGTAGTTCTTGTTTTTCTCCAAAATAGGTATATCCAAGAGCACAGCAAAGGGGGTCTAGTTTCCTCCCTGGAAATCTAGAATAAACGGGGATCTGCTATTCCTTTATATTTTTGAAAATACACACAAATTACCTACCCTCAAATTCCTGCCCTTGCAAATGGACCATGGTGTGGCACTGAGGGAGACGCCGCCTCCTCCAGCACTGCGCGGTCATGAGGCTTGTCAGATGGGAACACCTGCCTGCCTGAATTATTCAGAGTGACTTTGATTTCTCATTCAATTCTCTGATATCACAGTTATTATGCAGATGTCAGTCAAATTACCTCACATTGAGGTGTTTACTGATATCAGAAATCCTTGAATGCAAGGGTCAAAGAACCTCCTGTATCTTACCTGCAGAATTCCCAATGCTCAGGGACTTTTCTGATCAGAAGCCAATTTCTTTACTTTTTTCTTTACGGGGTATATTTAGCTGCATCAATTTTTGTTATTAGAGCTATGGCAACAGCAAATCTCTCTGGAGCTCTCAAAAAAGTCTCAGTGATGGTTATAGAAGGATTCCTATCAATATGAATAGACTTCACTCAATCCCTTCCCTCTTCCCCACCAAACTGGACTGAACCGGACTAAATCAAACCAAACCAGTGCTTTGGTTTTCCAAGCTTACAATGTTATGGAAAACATAATTGACAGATGAGAAAGAATGAAGGCCTGACTAGGTTTCCAAAGCCTAGAAAGTGGCAGTTGAGGAAGAGCAGATGTCTAAACCAGCAATGAAATACATAAATTTCGGGCTTGATCCTGCAAAAGCAGATGCCTGAGAGGCACCTTCCATCCAGGAGAAGGCAATTCATCCACAGCGAGCGACCCATTGCTCTACAGGATATTCTTATGGTGCAACCCCTCAAAAGTCAGCAGTCATGGCATGTGTTAGGTGAAAAGTTTGCTACCTCAGCTGACAATCTTCCCGTCTGAAGCTTAACGAACAAAAATTCCTGGGAAAGGGTCATTTAGAGGAAGTAATTTCTCTAAAATGCACTGCCTGTTTAATATAGTGATGCTGCTGGTGACCTTACACGTGTTAAAACTGCTGCCAGACGCTGTCGGATGAGTTGCTCCCACCAGCAACACTTGCTCTGTGTTCACACCTCTCTTCTGCAGTCCTGAGGCTGCGATCAGCACTTTCCCATTTCCATTTTCTCTTCCTCCCTTTCCCTCTCGCATTTTATTAACTACTCTCAGGGTATGAACAATTCCTCCTGTACAGCTTTTCAGGACCACCTGGGAAACAAACCCACTTGAAGGCTTGAAAAAGCACCTGAAATTACCATGGCTGGTGTGTAAGTACAGAAGATGCTGCTTCCTACCTCCCTGTTTCTGCAGGCAGACAGGGGTGAGCTCTGCCCAGGCTTTAAGCTGACCAGAGGCTGGTGAGTCCTGTTCAGCACAGCGCTCAGCCCAAGTTAATAAGTCCCACTGAAAGGCACGGTGTGAGCTGAAGGCCATGCTAACCAGGAGCAGATGGCTTCCAGCCAGCCCAATGCATGGACAGACATCTCCTCTGAGTGACTAACCTTGGACCACTCTGTCCATGACAGTGTTTTACGAAGAAGAACACTAGCCTGGGGAAAATTCAATTAAAGAGGAGAATTGCAGAAGTACATGAAGCAGTTAGATAACCAGCTCCAACCGAAAGTCCATGGAAACCTGTTGCCAAGCTGGCCTTTGTGGCTTCAAAATATCTATTTGAGATCGGATTATCAGAAGAGCTGAAAGCCTATGCAGCCTTTGCAGAAAAGTTCAGCAAATGGGCCAATTCTCCAAAGAAACTTGGTGTCCTGAGGGCAGCTTTGCTGCCTGAACTTATGAGCACGTTTTCCCAAGCAGATGCCAGCAGTAATGTCTCATTAGAATAACTGAAGAGTGTGTTTTGCTAATTGGCACTGTAGATACATTGACCTCTGTTTTTGTTTCACCGGAATCTGATTTTTTGTGATTACATTTAATAGTGACTGCAAGGGGAACTGAAGGAGAGGAGGCAAGGGAGAGAAGGGGGAAAGAAAAGAAAAGAAAGGGAAATGTGTCCGGTTCTGACAAGACAAGCTGTCCAGAAAATCTCACTACAAAGGAGGAAGATTTTGGAAGGAGGAGCCTGAGCGTTACTGACAATTGTTCTTTCATCAGTGATTTTTAAAATCTTTCATTCCCAACTGAGTGCTGTCTTTGTCTGTGGACTTAAAACCTCTCTTCCCTTTCCTTCTCTTCTGCGTAATTCCCTGCTTCCCTGGGGGATCCAGTAACACATTTATTCCTCTCTCTCCTTCAGCCTATTCCCTCCAGCAACACCACTTGAGTGGGCTGGTGGGCAACTGTACCCAGCTCACTTTCAAGCTTCTTGTCATCCTCTAGCCACTGGGAAAAGTATTGCACGTGCCCTCATCCTCACACACGCATGCATATAAAAGGAAAACAGCTCTGACAGCTGGATGCACCATCCAGATGTGTCAAAGTCATACAGAGCAATGATCTGGCTGGGGGAGAGGAGACACTGTGTGTTGTCTGGAGTGGGGTGCAGGAGTGGTGTGGGCACAAGGCATAAAGGCTTCACAGGGTTGTGGCTGGGGATCAGTGTGCTTCCAAATGTGCTCTGTGTGTGTGCTGACCTCAGAGACGGTCACAATGTGCTGCTGATTACCTGGGGACAAGGAAGACTTTTGGCCATGGCTCTGGCATTGTCCTTCCTCTCTGTTTTGGCTTGACACCTTAACCCTGGCACTCACGGGCTGGTCCTAGTGTCGATGGAGCAGTAGCTGGGAGTGAGAGGCAAGGGGGAGACACCCTTTCCATTGTCCTTCCTTCTCCAGTGCCACCACTGAAGAGAAGCTATAGGTCACAGTCCTAAAGATTCAAACCCATAAGAGACAATCAGCATAGATGCCATTTACCTTTTCTCGTCATGTCTGTAAGATGTAGAGCTCCGGCCACTGGTCCAAATAAACATTTTAGAGGGTTGCCCAGTGTTGGCTTTGCTTGCTGCAGTGGGACGATGGAAGGACCTGGGGGAAGAGGGATAATTTCTGTCACTGCCCATCCAATGCAGCAGACTACATTATATCCAGTCTGCCAAATCTCCTGTGGCCGTACCCAGCGTGCTCTGAAGATGGACCATTTATTAATTCAAGGTGAGATGTACAATAATGGGGATGAGAGATCAGCGGGTGAGAATGAAGGATAAATCTCATTAGGCCCACTGGTAAAATGTGACCCTGGCTAATTAGGCTTAGCTATGCTCCACTCTGCAAACGATTGGCACCATGGACAAGAAATCGTCGGTAGTTTAAGAAAAGGTAAGAGCTGCATCCAGTCTTACTATGGCAGTATTTTGGGGGTAGAAAGTGGCTATTGTTTAAGCGCGCACATGTTCATCATAGCTTACCCATTGTACTGCAGCTCTCAGTGCGATGAGGCTCTCAAGGAAGGTGCCTGAATAAGGCACAAGGCGTAAATGCAGCATTTTATGGAAATGTAACTGATGTGACAAAGCTGACTTTTCCCACAGAGAATTACTGTCCCAAGGCCATTTGGCCAGAGCAGTTAGATTTCTGCCCAGAGGCTTCTTTGTTTCACAGCAGGGTGTGAGACCTGGGTCTTCTGAAGAGGGGAAAAGACTGAGGGATTTCATTTTAAGTACTGAATTTGAACTCTGTACTTTAATTAGGTCTCATAGAATCAGAAATATAGAGTTGAAAGGATCTCAAGAACTGTTGCTGCTCTGTTGCCTCAATGCAAGGCACATTCACTATATCTATGTCATTCCCAGGAGATTTTGGTTACCCTACGTCAACTGAATGTGAACAACCGTTTTTCCAGATGGTGACTTCATTGCCAGGCTGGAAGCACAGGCTGTATTGGACCTGCTAGTGGGGCTACAGCTACCCTCATAGCTCCTCCTGATCTACTCCTGGTTTCAGTGAGGCTCAGTTAAAGTCTCAGTCTCTGAGAATTCGGCCCTTCTTGGCGAGGGTTGTGTTTCACATTATTTCATGGCACAGCAGTTTGTGCTTTTATCGCATTCAGAGAAAGGCTTAAGAAAAAAAAGGAATATTCCAGATACCAAATGCTTTAATGATGAAGTTTTTCATACACTGGGGGCCATTCTTTAGCTCACTGAAAAATAAACCTGGCTGTTGATGCTGTCAGCAGAGAAGGCACATGAATTCCTCAGTGCTCCTCGCCTGAAAAAGTCTTTAATGTCACTATCTACATAATCATGCGCAGGGCTAATTTCAACATTTGCATAGCGGTGAACCTGGGAGAATACTTAAATCCTGTAGAGGTGGCTGCAGGGGAGGACTGACATGGATGGGAGCCAAAATCCATCCGTATGCAGACGGGCTGACGGGTGCCAAGGGACCAGGCTCTCCATCTGGAGTCAGCCCAGAGCCCCACCACGGGGTCCATGGCGCAGACCCAGGCCAAACTCATAAACTGGCCAAACTGGTGACCCTGTCACCTCCTCCCTGCTGGGATCCCACTGCTCCCTGTTGCTGAGATGCTCAGAGACACTGGCTCGGAACCGGGGCTTGCAGGCAGGGACCTTGTTTCAAATAACAGGCAGTAATATTGAACAAAGCTTTTGTGCTGCGTTCATGAACAACAAATTGGACAAGAAGGTGGCCTAAAGGAAGGGAGGCAGAAGGAGGGGAATATCCCCAAGCCCTTTCCCTGACTTTGTGGTCATCACTGCAACTCTGAGAGCCAAAAAAGGATATTTTCTTTCCTTACAACCACTGTAGATAAGTATTGAGGAAAAAACAGTAAGAAGAGGCACTTCCTCCCTGAAATAACTATAGTTTAGAAGGTAAAATAGGATCTACCAGAATTTAATCAATATAGCTACTGACTAAGAAGTGGTTTTGGAACGGTCATATCCAGGAATTTGGGTTGTAGGACCTTGGGTCTAATCCTCACTCTGCTATGTAAGATTGCACCTACGCTACCGCAGACAGCACAGCAGTGACTGCCCAGCCTGTGCCAAACGAGCCGGTGTTTCTGCATCAAGCAGCACAAGAGGGCTCAGAGCAGCTATCTGAGGGCCTGGAGGCCACATTGGACATTGGACTGAGACCTGTCACAGGCTGAGCCCCTTAATGGTGGAAAATAAAATTTTATATGTATATATACAGACTTGCCACTGCACCCTTTAGGATGCCACAGGTGAGCTGCACGGTGGAAAAGCCTGTCTGGCTGTGCTGCCATGGCCTGAGCGGTCCCAGAGCCATCAGGACACAGTGGTGAATGCTATTAGAGAGTCTGTTCTTAATTAAGAAAAACTTGAGCAGACATTAGAGGTGATCAGCAGCTTCTGCTGCCTGTCTGAGTCAACAGGGACACCTGGGCAGGACTGCCTGGGCATCCAGGCAGGTTCATGAGCTCCAGAGCAAATTGTGGGAGCACCACCGGTGCAAGAGCTGGGTGAGAGGGGTCTGTCCCACTGAGGGGAGGCCAGAGGAGGAAAAGGGGTGTCTTTCTTCCCCCCAAAGTCAGAGTGGTTTCAGACTCCCTTATAGTGCCAGTGCCCTGGAGCAGTCCATATGTGACAGCATTAATGCTGCCTGCTTCATTAGTTGGGCAATCCAAGCTAACCAGTGCTATTTAACACACAATTACACACCTAATTTTAGGTGAAGTTGTTACACTAGTGACATCATAGAAGAGGTCAGATGCAAGAGACTAAAGCCCATGTTTCCTTTAGGTGGGGGTTAGCTGTAAGGTAGCCTTTTGCAGAGCAGTAACAACACAAACTCCCCAAGACCCTCCTTTGAAGGCCTTTGGAGGACTTGCAACTTAGAACATTTACAACCTACGTGTCCTGCTCCACCAAGTCACTCAGCAAACTTCCATGCCTTTCTCCACCCTGGAGTTAATCACAAGACAAGACTGTAAACCTTCTTCCTTCCCTGTCCCCTCTCTCTTTTCTGAGAAAACAAGCAGCACTACCTTTTTTTTTTTTTCCCCATTGTCTCTCTGAGTCAGCTGCTGGCAACGTATTTTTATCATGCAACAAGTAATCAGCCTGCGAAACTCATTACTGCAGGACGTCAGCCTGGCATTTAGAGTAAAAGTGGATTGCGTTATTGCTTGAACAGACAGAGCACCTACAGTCATGACGATGCCTGTTAAAAAAAAAAAAAAAGTTTAGAAGAGGTGCTTCAAGCTGCTTTTTGGCTATCAGGAGTCTGTAGGGGATATTCCGATAGGACAGGTTACCAGGAAACTGCTGTACTTGATGCGACTTTTGCTATGTACTCTTAGAGTCAGGATACTGGGTTGGACCCTGGTCTTTCTGCTTGACCCTGCCTGAACATTGCTGTTTCCTTCACTGTTTACCCAGTGTGGCATCAACACAGTTGCTTTTTGATGTGGTTGTGGCAGAGACAGGCAAGGAAGCCATGCTTTGGTTTTTACAAACAACATCTCCTTCTTGACTCTATTCTGAATAAATGCACAATGTTTAGGAGAGAAACACAGAGTGAAAAGTGTACAGTCTCCTATGAATACATGTACACCTGTGCCTAGAGCATGTCACTGCTCTGCCCTGGCCAAGGAGCAGCTCTAAGGGCCTGCGGTGCTGACACTGTGGATCTCCCCAGGGCTGACTCGCTCCTCTCATCCTCCCCCATTCTCAGCCTTCTCTTTAACACTATCTTCTGGTGAATTTTGTGGACTTCACTAGAAAATCTGACAAGGTTTCCACTTTTCAGCCATTGCAAGATGAAGATTTGAGATAGTTCTTATAAGATCAGAACTACTCTGCTCCGTTCCAAGGAGTGTCAACACGTCCACCTGACAGCAACCAGCCCAGAGAGGACTGCGATGTGAAGCAAACATACTGGGGCAGCATTTGCTTCAAATTGCTCCAAAAAAGACGTAATTCTCAGGGTGAATCTCAAAATCCTTAGCTGATACCTTGGTAACTATATTATGTTGTATTGTCCTCACTTTCACCCTGGGCTGGCTGCTTTCCTTCCTCAGGCTTTGGTTTATGTCATGAGCAGTATGAAATGTCCCTTACTTCTAGGTCACCACATCTGTGAACAGCCAAAGAGGGATATTGCGGAACACGTTTTTAGAGAGGAAGCTGGGGTTTATATGTGTGTTTATTTGTAATTGTGTCTGTCTATGTTTATGTTAATCATAGGGTTTCTGAGACCTTGGAGAACCATTTATGGCACCAAACAAATGTGCTCTGCTCCCCTTACGGCATTTCATTTCCTGGGCAAAGTGGCCACTGTAAAAAGAGCAGCACTTGCATTAATTTTGCCTCATAAAAGACACCCTGAATCATCAAAAGCCAACAAAAGCTAAATGTTCACCTAAACATACAATCACTGACCTCTTAAGCTTTTTCTGAATACACCCAGGCCCTGGACTGTCCAGGCTGCCAAGTGCTCTGGATGCTTCCTCCCAATATTTCCCAGCCACAGGATTCAATTGAATCCCAAGGCAGTTCCCTGTGAGCCCTGAAGTTTTCCTGCTAGTGCACTTGTTAACTTCTCTCTGTGCCACAACACTGTGGTCAGTGCCAGTTCTTGGACAGACATAGTGACTGTCTGGTGTTGAGTGACGGGAGATATTTGGTCTCTCTCATGGCTGGAGAGCCTTTTTTTGGGGTGGTCCATTGCCCATGGGAAAAGAAAGAGGCTGAAAGCAGGCATTAAAGGCAGCCAGCAAGGGGATGGTGGTACACTTTGGGATGAATTTTCTGAATAAGGACAGTTAGATTTTATGTCCCAATAGGTCTTATCCACACCTGTGTTTGATGATAGTATGTTTTCCCATGGCTTTGCTGAGCCAGAAAACAGGGATAAGTATTGTGTGATGAAGGATGGGAGAATAAATAAAACAGCCTCTTGAATTTCTGATATAAAGTGTAGCCTGACTGCCGGGTAGTCTGGCATTTGAGTGCCTTAGTGCGTGGAAGAGTTTCCCAGGCAGAGTGGTGGATGTAACTATTACATAAAGATGCTCCTGTCTGATTCAGGAGATGACCCAG